TACCTTTGCAGAGGGAAGCACCTAGGACCTGAAGCTAAGCGATTTACCCAAGTCGTGAAGTTGACACCACGAGTTCTTCTGTAATCAGGTGATTCTTAAGTCTTTACTCTCTTGCTCTGAGAGCGCTACCAACCACATCAGGGAGGGGTTTCACTTCATCTTTCTTAACTAAAAGTGTGTCAATACAGCCTATCACTGGGAAGAAAAGAAGGAACAGGACTGGTGCTTGAGCAAGCCATAACTAAGAAATCCCTACATCTATTCTCACTGGGTTAATACCACATAACTAATCACCAAAAAGAAAGCACTTTAGAAGAAGACAACACCTCCAAAGCTACCGACAGTTTTTAAAATTGGATGTTAGTAACTCTCCTTACATTTTTATGTCACGATCAAGCATCATCTCAGATTAAAAAAACAGTCACAACACACAGGTAATGCTTCCTCTACACAAGAGATATCTTTGCACTAATGAACCACCAGAAGAAACCAAAGACACTCATAGAGAGATAAAACGCAAGTAACCAACTCGTATAAGCCCCATGGGGTGTTGCTACCTGTCATACAATAGGCATAGCACAGCAAAAGTAAATAATTTTTACTCAAGCCCATAGACATAATGACAACCAAGCTTTAGAAGCTTTCACCACAGCTCAGTTTCAAAATTTTAACAGTGCAGGATACGTACTTTGGTTCTCTGAGGAAACGGGAACTTCTCCTGCGCATTCAACATACACAGGCAAAATTTTCCAAAAGAAAAAGTGATTCATTTTAAGCCAATAAATAGAGAAATGCCATGTAACTATTTTTACAGCAAAAGCAGGCTCCGGAGAAAGGAGAGGTCACTCTTTTTTGCAAGTATTTGTTTAGACTTCATCTTTCTGGGAAAGGAAAAGTGTTTATAAAATATAGCGAAAACACAGGTGCCGAGAAACCACTGCAGTTGCAAAGTACAACCAAGTGAATCAATCAGGTTTTAAGACAATATACAATAAAAGATCCATGCATTACACAAACTAGTTAAATTTTTGCCAGCTGAGCCATCCTGAAACAGTTCTTTGACATGCAAAAGCAAGGACTGCAAAGCCAGTGGAGATGCAGGTACAGCTTTGTCTGAAGAGATCTGAAAAGTATCAGAAGTTTTACCAGTTACTCCTGCCACCTCCCCATCCCCTTTTGCAAAGCAAAAACACAAACAAGAACAGATTTTCTTCTCTTTCTTTCCACTCAAGTCTTTAACTAAAATTCAATTGCTCTCCTACCAGTTCCACTTGTTATGGCTGATTTCCCTTGATACAATCCAAAAGGTATCATCACACAGCAACAAAATCATATGGACGTCCACAGTATTTCCAAAGCCAAGGAGAAAGCTAGGAGCAGTGAAAATTTTTTGAAAGACTCTTTTTACATCGTATTTCTCTATTGACTAGCCTTTATCAGCATTATTAATTGGGCATTTTGTTACAAAATTTTGCTTCAAAGATCTATCAGTGGGAAACGCAGACAGTGTTGGAAAGGTCTCAGAAATACACTCTGAGTACTAAGAAAGGACTCAAACTCCTTTCTTGACCCACACTGGATAGTGCTTAGATAGGCTTCTTGCAAACTTGCAGCAGAGATCCACGTGGAACTCACCTGTAGATCAGGGCCTTAAAAATAAGAATATCCAGCTTTCATGGATAGGGTTTGGGAGCTTAACTATACCAAGTGTCAGTTACTTTTGAATTTTCAGATTTATGGAAACTTAACGTATTTAGAATTCCTTCAACTTCCACCGAAAAAAAGCATAGTATTTTCATTAGTAAGAAAGGTTAAAATTAGTTAAAAGTAAAGGAATCACGCACATGATCTTTCATAATGTTCCTACTAGAGTAGGGCAGACATTGACATACAAGACTTCACCCCCCGCCCCCAAGAAACCACATCCCTGCTGCTCAGGTGTAAAGTACAGCACGTAAAACACTGCAGTGGGGACGGCCCTGAAGAACCTTAGTGCTAAAGATGACAGAGCAGTTGTAACTTCTCACAAAGAAGCTGGAGCAAGCTATTCTGAAAGTCTGATGGACCACACACTGCTGCACCAGGCACCAGTTCATAGAAAGGGAGATCGTGAACATGACAAGCAGGAAGCACTCACACAACTAAAGCATGTGTGCGGGGAATGTCCCAACAAGCCACCACAGTACCAGCAATTCCAGAGCCCGGAGTTCAAAACCTAATTTCTAATATTCCCCTCTAAAAACATGGTCTTCATTAACATGCCAGGAGTTCAAACATACATAGTTTGAGCGCAACTTGGCCAAACACCATTTCTAGATATCTACTGGTAGGTAGAGTGTTACTCCTGAACATCAGATACTAGTACTAGCTACAAAGCTTTCAACTCTCCAGCAAAAATAAAAAAGGACTAAATAATGTTAGAAAAAACATATGCAACACAAGGTATTTGACAGACCCATCACACCCATTGCTTTAGCTCTTCAGCTCCGTCTGAGGACAAACCAATGAGTAATGAAAGTATATGGCATACGTATTCTAAGACATGGCATGCATTCCAGTTCCCCTTGAAAATGTACCAACTTTCAGGCAGTTGACAGTGTTCACACTACGGGGATGATAAAGAGCACTGGAATGTAGCCAAATGTTGTCTGATGAAGCCCCTTCCTCACGCAACCCTACACAAAGGTTAAACTGAAGTACCTGTGACATTTAGACCCCATCTAGAAAGGGATGAGTAGTTTTCAAGTCACTCAAACCTCCTGTGCTTACCTACTCTGCTTACCTAGGGCACCATGTTAGATTTTGAAGGCGTGCTACAGATGGTATAGATTAGCCCCATTTTCATATGCAAGTTTCACTTTGGACACAAGAAAGAGTGCAAAAGAACCTACACAGCTTTCCAATTTCCAATTAATTTCCAGTTTTCCAACTAATTCAATGCATTTATCCTTTATGTCCCCCCCCCTTCAGAGTTACATTACAAACAAGTAGGTTTAAGAAAGGTCAGCCTAAAACTAACGGACTCCACCACACGCTTCAGATGCCCTTTTAAAGTTTAGAAGTTGAGTTTCTGAACTGATAAGAACAGAACAACGCAGCCTTCCTTCACATCGGTCATCTCTGAAGTGCTTAACGCATTGTACTTGTTACAGTATTTCCAATATACTAAATTGTCTATACACCAAAACACTTTCAGAAGTCCTCAGTCACCGTATTTCTGATGACAAAGAGGGTGGATTGTGCATACTCTATCCAAGCGACACGCTACGCTCAGGAAACGGTATGTTCTAGCTAGCGAGAGTAAGACTATTTCAGCATAAACAGGATCAAATGGCATCTTACTGAGCTACCCTCTGGCTATTTCCAGGCTGACCGCTCATTTCAGTTAGCGTTAAATAACGCAAATTCCACCTGGGGAACTCCCAAGCCCTCCGATGAGGGCCCAGAACAAAGTTACCCCGTACCTCCGCACCGCGCTCCTGTGCTCTGGGAGACTCGCCGCTGACGCGCTAGCAGCTTGCACGGAACCACCTCCCAGCGGAGGCACGGTGTGTTTCAGGGTACCTGAGCCGGGCACAAGCTAGCAGCCGGGGAGCGGCATCCCGCTCGCTCTCTCACGCTACCTTCGCAGTGAAGCCAGCGCCAGATAAAACAACGTACCTTGCTCCGCCAAGGAAGGGCTCTTCCGCGCGGGTTACGCGGTCAAGGCGGCTGCTGCCGAGCTTTCGGCGTGTTTGCCAGCTGAACAACCCTCCCCCCACACACGCGCGCGCGCCCCGGCCCCACC